AACATCGGCCTGACGGGCATGAAGCTGGAGAACCCGGCCGACCCCCAGATGACACTGCACCCCTTCCAGCTGGACCCGTCTACTGCCGCAGCCCTGGCGCCCGGACTGGGTGAGTGCCCCCCCGCTGCCTCCACAGCAACGAGAGAAGCCCCCCTCCCCGACCAAGCCCTCTCCCAGACAGCTCTCCTCCCTTTTACACTTCCACCAGGTGGCCCAGGTGTCTCACAGGTGGCCCGGGTGTCTCACAGGTGGCCCGGGTGTCTCACAGGGGCCCGGGTGTCTCACAGGGGCCCGGGTGTCACACAGGTGGCCCGGGTGTCTCACAGGTGGCCTGGGTGTCTCACAGGTGACTGCCTGACTGCCAGTCCTGCACGGTGTTCTTCCCTGGGCACCTGACGTTATCAAGCTGTGCCTTTCATGCCCACACTGTATTTCTGCCCTTAGGCCACACTTATTTTCTTACCCAGTTTATGAAATATATTATGGACTGTGCTAAATAATTGCTTACCAGTACTGTCATTTATAACTGTATGTGTGCAGTAGCTTTTTAATTTTACTTGTCTTGTGTTCTTATATTCTTCTATTTTTCATATAAGTAAGGTTTTTTGTGCAGCTCATATTCCGTATCGGGCACATTTTACAGTTTGGTTCAAATTTAGGACTAATTACTGCATTTGTAGTTTAGATGAAAAATTATCTATTAAATTTGTTATGTGCTGATCACTTAGCTTCCATCCAATGAAATGATCAAAACCCGTATAAAACAGAATTGCATAAAATAGGAAATTACAATTAGATGAGCATACGTTAATCTGTTTTTAAGGGCTAAAAGTGTGGCAGGTTTTTTTTTTTATTGATCAACTTTCATGTCTTTGAAAAACACAAATTCAGGAATGACATTATGCCCGGTAGGAGTAATTAAAGCTATCTGATGAGGGAATTTAGAAGTTGAAAAGGATGATTGTAATTGATCCTGATTCAATCCTATTACAGCTTTTTATAGTTTAAGCTTCAGAGAAAGCATACTCGTCACTAAGGCTTTATTTTATCAAATCCTTTGTGTGCACCCTGCACCGGGCTCCACTTTGCCTTTTAATTTTTTTATCTTTTCTTTCTCTCCCTCTCTCTTTCTGCCTCTGTTTCTCACTGCAGTAAATAATGAGCTGCCGCCAGAAATCCGTCTAGCCAGTGGTCAGCTAATGGGTGATGACCTGTCCGTCCTCTCTGCTGGGGAACTGTCACCTTATATCAGCGACCCGCTGCTGAAGCTTTTCCAGTGTGCTGTGTGCAACAAATTCACCTCTGACAGCCTGGAGGCCCTGAGCGTGCACGTGAGCACAGACCGCTCGCTCCCCGAAGAGGAGTGGAGGGCTGTAATTGGAGACATCTACCAGTGCAAGCTCTGCAACTACAACACCCAGCTGAAAGCCAACTTCCAGCTCCACTGCAAGACCGACAAGCACATGCAGAAATATCAACTGGTGGCCCACATCAAAGAAGGGGGCAAGGCTAATGAGTGGAGGCTAAAGTGCATTGCTATTGGCAACCCTGTGCACCTGAAGTGCAATGCATGCGACTACTACACCAACAGTGTGGATAAACTGCGGCTGCACGCGACGAACCAGAGGCACGAGGCAGCGCTGAAGCTCTACAAGGTATGTCGCTGGTCCCGCTGTGACGCTCGCCGCGGTATTCGTGAACGCCGCCCGGCTCCTCCACCACGGCGTAGGACTGGCTCGCGGGTGATCTAAAGCTGAGCACATGTGCATGCGTAGGCTGTTACCTTTTGAAGAATTACGTCAGTTCTAAGGGGTTTCACCTTCTCTCTATTCTTACTTCTCGCTCCCAGCAAGTCTGACTGCTTTGAGAGTCTTGCGGGTCAGAGAGCCAGGGAGGTGAAATCTAATGGGTTTCCAATAAAAAAAGAGCTTGTAGCACCATGTATTCATGTAGTTTAAAACAACAGGCTGAATCTCCTGCGATCAGCTGGCAGTGGTGATGGCTGCGTATTGATTTCTTTTAAAAGAGCGCACTGGGGTTTTGTTTTATGCAAACTTTTATTTTTGGAGATTTGTGTTTGAACAATAATTTTTTACAGTTTTTTAGATTTTTTGCTCTCTTGCTAGTAAAGCGTAGGGAGATCTGTGTAATCCGGGAGTGTATAATCTGCCAGTCAGGCTGTTTACATGATGCCTTCGGAAATCAAAGTTAATTGAATTCTTGCAAAAATATCGATAAACTCCAGCGACACGGGTGAAGATATAATTGTTGTTTTCAGAATCTTCACTGCCTTTAATCTGTGTTGTCACCCACTGAGTGACAGCAGGCGTCAGCCCAATGCACACAGCTGGGGCGACTGGTGGGGCACTGGGGTGTGTGGGGAGGGCAGCGCTAGTCTGAGTGTTTAGAGCACTTTTACTCTGGAGCCTGGAGCCCCCTGTTTTAGAAGTGTGGGTACATATGTCTGGATTGTCCTTTTGGGCAGTGTTTCATACTCTAGGCTCGTGGGGGCTGTAAGCAGGTAGTAAGTAAATGGAGGTCACCACAGCAAATAGCAAATTAACAAAGAATATCAGTTGTCTGGGCCTAATCACAGGGTAAAAAGCCTTTTTTAATATTGGGTTAACAGAATGGAGTGTTTGAGCATAAAAAATTGAATAAAATTGTGCTGCTATTGCAGATTGACGTCTCAAACTCATTAATGGCCCTTTTCATTATAAACTAAATATAACAAGAAAATATTATACAGCATTAGTCACTTTCATCTGACACACTGGGCTGAGTATTTTTAAAAATCTTAAATGTAGCAATTCGCTGTGGACAGTAAGATTGGACATGAAAACATGAACAAGCCTTTTTTTACATAAAAATGAATGCCTGAAACTGGTTGTAGAAGGCAATAAAAACACTGCAGTCCTTTCCTCCCAAATTTCAGTTAAACATGCTACTTCTTTGAGGGGGTTTTAACAAAAACCCTTCAGCAGTCCCATATTATTCATGCATTCAGGCAGTGTAAGTAATGTGGCCGTTACTAACTGAACAACAAGGAGCAGATCCTGTGCAAAGCAGAGTCAGCATGAGCTAAATGAAGTCCTGAAAGAATTGCATGTGGAATTTTGAGGCCTTGCATTAGAGAATGAAAACCATGGGAAGGTTTAGAAATCCTTAGCAGTTTAAAACGAGGGGCTTTGGTCATTCTCTACACAAATGAAAAAAGGTTCCATGGCAACAAAGAGCATTTCACATCATGTAAGAAGAAGAGCAGATTGAAGATTAGAAGGTGAGAAAGGCCTAGAAAAGTGTGTTCTTAATAGCCTCAGGTAGTTTGCTGTGTGCATGGTTTTGTATCTATCAATTTATGTGTCTCGTGCTCTCTCTCTAAGTCTAGTAGTGCGCAGTCTTCCTAAAACACCCTATGAAATCAAACCAATGTAACTGAAAATCCTAGAAACCTAACAAAAAAAACATGTATAAAAATCTGATTTTACTTATGTAAATACATCACGCATGAAATTCATTTAAGACTGTGGGCGAAAACAGCACTTCCACAAACGATAAATTGCATGGGACCTATTTCATATTGGTCATCTCCACGAAGCACAGGCTGGAAGTGTGGATTTGCATTAAGCGCAGTGTTTTAGCCTGTTGAAGGTATTTTATCCGCAAAACCGACTGGGCAGAACGCTGAACTCCCAGGAAGGTAGTGCTTCAGCGGCAGTGGTGATAGAGTTGGTATAGTTTAATGCACGTGTGCTTTTAACTATTAGTAACCAATTTCTGTTTTTCAGTAGTATGCTGTAAAACATTTGCACACTACTATTGTGTGTGTATGGCCTTATCTAGAGCACAATTTTTTATGCACCTGTTTTTGATGCCTGTGTGCTTCCAGTCACACTGATGGCAGATTTGAAATTAATTTGCTTTGTTCCCAATAAAACAGCATTAAAAGATCAATGTAGCACCCCATTACTGTAGCAATTTAAAATGCGTGTTTAGATGCTTATATTGTTTTTATGTTTTGTTCCTGTTTCAGAATGTAGTCTGCTTACACACTAATGAGAATAACTGTGAGGCGATTTTGCATTTTAAATGGCACCCAAGTTGCAGTACCTTTTTAACCTGCGATTTTCCTTTGCCGATTCTAATGCAAAACAGCAGGTGGCCGCCGCGAATAAATTTAGGATTAGAAGGATTCCATTCTTTGCGTGTGTTTTATTGATTTCATCCCGCTCCCCGCTGGAGAGCAGGGCGTGCAGCGCGGGGCCTGATCAGGCGGGGTGCAGGAGCTGCTCCGCGCTCGGGCGGTGGGAAGGTGAGAGGGCGAGAGTACAGCCACCATCGCTGGGCTGCCCCGTCTTCCCTGTTCTAACGAAAATCTGTTTTACAGATGGTGCTTTAATGTGTTTGGCAGAAAAAGGACTATTTTACCCACGGACATGTGCTAGTGAAATTATTATTGCTATTTCTTTATTTGACCAGAAAAACACCTCTTCTTTTATGTTTTAAGGTGAAAGGCATGTGGGACTGGGGAGCTGGCAAAGCGCACACAAGAGCAGTCAGTGCTGATGACCCTTCCATATGGCCCTGGAATACAGAATATCTTTATGACTTAAAAATGATCGAAGAAACAAACAAAGGCACATTCAGTGTTTTATTACTGCTTTGTACCTAAGAATTTTTACTGAAGGGATTTGACTTCTTTGCCTTTCCAGATATTAAATAAGTCTGAATTACATTAACAGTGCAGCTTTACCTTCATTTTTCTTAGTTCATAATGGCATTTCTAGCAGAAGGAAAGGCAGCAGCGTGTGTTTCATTTGCGTGGAACGTGGGTAATCCAGGCCGTGTGCTTCTCACGCAGTGGAACAGAGAGAGAGAAAGCTGTGGACGCAAAGGAGGAAAGCGTGATTGGCCGTGGAGCTACGTCACAGTGCCCGAACCGGGGACAGTTTCGAAGCAGGAAAAAGACAGATTTTAGGGCCTTTAAAGAGTAGATTGCACAGAGCTCCTGGGGGTCATTTAAGACGGAGAACGTAGGTGGGCATTGTGGCCCAGCCAGCCTGTGCAGAAAGGCGAGAAGGCCGCCGCTGTGAGCGGTGTTTCGGCGCGGGGATGGCCGTGCTGCAAACCCGTCAGGAGCGACAAGCAGCCCAATTACCCAGCCTCCCCTTCTTCCACGCAGCCCGTCATCCGTCAAGCACAATGGCCTGTCTGGAGCCCCCGTTCTGATTGCATGTTTATTTATTTTTCCCCTTCAAACCCACCAGGGCCGCGGCGCCTATAACGCTCATTTTTATCAGGGAGCGCGGAGAGACGTGCTGGAGAGACTTCTCCTCCATGACTTCGGCTCCGGGCCCTTCCCCTGGGACTCGGAGATAGGCTGCCTCATTATCCGTGGTGTGGATAGCAGCACCACTGCTAGAGACGGAAGAAGGGGGAGTCCTAGAATCTGGAATTGACCAGAGCTCAGGGTACCCCTTCCTCACCCCCACCCCCACTCCTCCTCGGTTTTTATTTTTGCCTCTCACTCACAAGATGGTGATACAGTGAGTGGCACGTTATTAACTCGCTGGTTATACCACACTCATTACAGCAGGTCAGCCCGGCCCTCTCATTTGAAAATCAAATACCCCAGATATATGCAGTTCTAATTATGGGACTGTCATTTCGCCCAACGCGATCGTAAAATGGACAAGAGATTGAGGAGAATGGATTTGCATAAAAAGTCATTGTACTGCCCGCGAAAAGGATAAAAAAATCCTGTTTCTAATGTTCCCTCACTCCTTTGGTCCCTATACACACACACTCTCTCTGAAACCGTTTTTTAAAATGGTTACTTCCTGTTTGGGTGGACACAAGGTGTTGACATGTTGGCCAGTGTTAGGTTATTCTGTAAAGCAAAAAACAAAGAAGTACTTCAGCGTAGAAGCAGGGATCTTGCCTGAAGAAAGGGGACAGACAGGCCGAACTGAGGAGGAATGTATTGGCTGCTGTCGTGCCATGTACTGTAAGCCAGCAAACAAACAGAGCACCGGCAACATTAAGACGGTCTCTCCATGAATAAATGCATTTCATCCTGGTTGTTTTCCCTCTCCTCCCTGCACAATGAATGGGCAGATTATTCAAATCGTCTCAGCTTTCACCTGCAGAAGGATTACAATGGAAATCTTTCAGAGGTCCGCAAGTGAAGAAAAAAAAATAATTAAAGCATAAAGACAGATGAGTGTGAGGACACAAAGGAAAGAGTTTAGCCTGGGCTTCTTTCATTAATCCTCATAGATATTAATAGAACTTCCCTGATCCTTTTTGTGGTCATAACCAGATGGTCATTTCAGCACTGGAGGGCAGGAGCTCAGGTCTGGGACCCTGCGCTGACGGATGTTGTGATGCGTGTTGTTTGTGTAACTGCACCCCTTCTTCCACAAGCCCCCCGCTGCCGTTTTTCTCCTTCTCCTTCGGTGTGCTGGAAGATAACGCTCGGCAGCGCGCCGTTATTAATGACCAGCTGTGGTCTTCTTCCTGGGCCCCGGGGTCAGGCGGGCTGGCCAGGTCAGGCCATTTGTCTGTGTGCGGGGACTGTGAGGCCTATTGAGGGTGACAGGTACGAGAGGGGCGCCAGGAGCGGAGCCCAGATCCGCTGGGGACAAAGAGTGGC